GTTGCTGGATTTGTAGTAGTAGCTTGTCGTTGAAGCTTTTTATTGTTTTAATTACACGCGTTTTTCCGCGCATTGTTTCAATGACCGTCACGCGCCGCAAGCTTCTTTTTTCCAACCAGAGCCCCGTTCCGCCCTTTTCTCCCTGGTCTCTCATTTATTTATCCCCTTTCTCCCCTTCTCAGGGCCTCGGTTTGTTTGCAAAATGAAGTGGTCATATCGGTGCCCCCCACTGCCCTCTGACCCACACCACCAGAATCCTCGGGGCATTAATGATAATTTCAAAATGACATAAACGCAACTCCCAGTGCGTTTCTTTATCACTTAGAGATGGACATGGGTTGGGATTTGGCTTGAAATATATATATCTTTGCAGGGATATATGTTATAATACTTAAATAATTATATTACGGTCTTTGGAGTACCATTCTATAGTCAGTTTATGGTAGTTATGTTTATAAGGAAGCTGTAACTTGGAACTTGGCTATAAAACTGGGGGGTGTAGTGGGCTGCAGTGGTTATATTTTATGGATTATGGGGGGAAACTATTATAATTCTCTTCTTATAATACTATTCTACACTGAAACTCACTTATGGTGGTTGATATTATAAGATATCTTTATAAGAAATACCTTTATTTATAAGAGAAAGTAGGTATCTACTAAAGGGTTCTGGAAGTACCATCCTAGGAACCTAGGAACCTATATATTATATTTAATCTTTATTATTTGGGATATTATTTAATAATTTATGGAATTATATGAAACTATAAAGCACTTTTAATATCAGATTCTTTAGAGTTCTATTCTCCCAAGAGTTTAAGACGATATTTCCCTAAGAAAACTATAACTTGGAACTAATTTTTATAAAAAACTACCTTATATTTTTCTTAAACTTCCATTAACTCATTACATAGTCTATAGTCCATAAATAGTCCTTCAATTTTAAGTTCTTTATAAGAAAACTATGTATCTTTTTTTAAGAAAACTCTCACTCGAAACTATTTTTAATGAAATAGTAGGAATTAAAGGTCTTTTTTTAACTTCCACAAACTCTAGTATTAGAGAAATACAAGTGCAAGTAGTTCTCTATTTTGAAGACTTTTATAAGAAATATTTATAAGAAAACTATGACTTTTTATAAGAAAAGTATAAATAGTGACTAAATTCATAAAAAAAGAATATTTTTTCAATTTTCTTGAACTTTCTTTTACAAAACTATTTCATTAATTAAGCTTTTTAATTAAATTTTCATCATAGAATCGTAATTCCTTAATGAGGAATATCTAGAAGACCTTATAAGGGACCTTAAAAGACCTTTATAAGGAATCTCTAGAAGGAAACTCTGTATCATTCCAAAAATAAACCATAATTTGAAGCATTGTGCATTAAATGAGAGCTTATACTCCCTTTAAATATAATAAGAATAATATACAAACATAATTCAAATAATTATAATAAGAACTCTATATTTTTAAGAACCTCTTTTAACATTAAAATCCCATCTTCTTCAAGAAAACCCCCCATTTTGAAAACTATTATCATCCTGAAGCCTTCCTGAATCACCTCCCAGAATCACGCACACATCCCTAAACCGCCTCCCATCCTCCCCCCTCCCCCCTATAGCCGATGCCTTTGCATTGTAATCAATGAACTGGCGGGCCGCAGTTTTCAGTTTCGCAGTTTTGCAGTCGACGATTGGGAGTCTCGGTTTGGGGCAACCCCAAGATAAATGAAATAAATGAATGGCCATTGCCGTCGCTATCCCGCCATCCGCTATCCGTGAGAGAAGCATCCGTATTCCACCACGCCCCCTCCTCCCCCCTCTTTGCCTTTGCTCGGCACTATGCCACATTTACGCCCTCTGGGCATTTTAATGCCTTAATGAAAAATGCATTTTTAATTATTTTTTGTTCATTTACAGGCAGTTTTTTTTGTTGTTTGTGTTTTCAACTGGTTGACGTTCGTTGGCTTATGCGGCGTATGCGTAATTTATTGTACTTAATTTTCATTTCAACGTTGACAAGTTTAAGTTGCCATTTAAAAAAAAGAGAAAAAAAAAAATAATAATATGAGAGTATAATAATAATTTCATCGAGTGCAACGAGGGGGCAAGTGTAACGGTTGTTTTGTTGCAAGCAAGACAATGGCCAGTGGACAGTGGACAGTGGCCGGTGGAGGACAGATATCGGATTTCATGATTTGTTAGTGGCAGGCCATTGATTTGGATGAGAAGCAGAGGTAGCACAGCCAGAAGAGGCTAAGCAGGGTAAAAAAAGCATAGAAAAAGCATAAAAAAAGCAAGAAAAAAGCATAAAAAAAGGCAAAAGCATATCCAAGTCCAAGTACAGGAGTACTAACAGTAGCGGCTTCGACTCCGAGGGCTTGTCATTCATTAGGATAGCGTGTCATTCATTAGCCCCCCGAAGCTGTCACCCCTTTCCACAACGCCACTGCCCCCACTAAGCCCCCCCCAAAACCCCCTTCGATACAGTCACTGCACTAGGGGGGGGGGTTCTGGCGACAATGACAACAAATACGACGGAAGCAACGCGACGTGGATGTCATCGGGTTTCAAACCAATTTGTTTTGCCTCACTTAAGGCCAAGGCGCTGGACAGAGAGGGGACTAAACCAAAAGAAAGAGATAGAGCTAAAGATAGAGGGAGAGGGAGTTGCATAGGGAGTGGTAGTTGATGTCTTGGAATTATCGAGACATCGAGACAAACGTGGGAAGCTATATAGCTCTGAGAAGGGCTTTGAATTTCAAGAAAAAAAAATGCCATTTTCAGCAAAAATTATTTTTAAATATTTTCAAGAAGCTTTCAAAGATTTTTTATTTAAAATTCTTTAATAATTTTAATATATGATTAAAAAATGAAAGTTTTCAATTAAAATTTGTCCCGCACTAGGTCGTTGGCTGGTTGGGGGAAAAAAGCTTTCCAAGCTGGCGAGACATTTAATTACTGGTTTTTCCGCTTCAATAAAAAAAACGCGGCATGATTTTGAAGGTGAATGACGCCGCCAGCCAGCCAGCCACTTTCTGGCCAACATTCGACAAGGTGGCCATCCAGTCGATAACAAACCCATTTTTGAAATGTATCGAACCACTTTCAGTTGGAAAACAAGAAAATGGGGAGCTATAAGCTCTGTAGTAGTGGTTTTCCCACCAAGAGCCATTGCAACGGCTATAATTTGGAAAGTTTGTATCCGATCCTGGAGAGGGTGACTTTTATCGATTTGTGGATGGATTTTCTATCGACTTTTATCGAAATATTGTTATAAAATATTTTTTAGATTTTTTTTCGAATTTTTCAGGGAGAAGCCTATAAAAAATGTGGGTTTTTCCTATAAGCGCCATTGCGAAGTCTATATCTTTACCATTTTTTATTCGATCCTAGAGAGGAATACCTTGATCAATTTGTATATCGATTTTCTATCAATCTGCATCAAAACCTGAGTATGAAATATTTTTTCGATTTTTTTCCAATTTTTCTGGGGAGACCCCTGCAAAATGCAGGATTTTGGGATATGGCCCCTTCCGATGTCTATATCTCGGCCAATTCTCATCCGATTCTCAAAAGGAATACCTTAATCGATTTGTTTATCGATTTCCCATCAATCTGCATCAAAATCAGAGAGTCAAATATTTTTTAGATATTTTTCAAATTTTTTCCTGGGGAGACCCCTTCAAAAAGTGGGATTTCAATATATGACCCACTAGAAACGCTATATCTTGGCCAATTCTTGACCAATTCTTCTGGGGAATACCTTAATCGAATTGTAGTCTCATTATCTATCAATTCTCATCAAAATCTTGTTACAAAATATTTTTAAGATTTTTTTCATTTTTGGGGAAAACCCTTTTGGAAATTATGGATTTTTGTATGCAAGCCCTTGGAATGTCCATAACATGGACAATTTAAATCGGATTCTTAAAAGAAGTATCTTTATCTTTTTGGGGACTAATTTCCTATCAAACCTCATCAAAATTCTGAGAATAAATACTTTTTAGATATTTTTTTAATGTTTTTTTTTATGAAAACCCCCTTTAAAGACCCTTTCTCGGTGCCCCTGGTTGACTGCCAAACAGCGTGCCAATTGAAAGTGTTTCTGAACAAAGATTGCGGGCCAACACGAGTGCAGGCAGATTCCGCTTTTTGGCCAAAAAAAAGCATCAGCATTTGAGCCATCTCAGCCCCATTGCCGACAATTAGCTTGAACGTCTGGCCAAACAAAGGCCTGGGCCCGGTCACTCATTGCCAACAATTTGTTCAACTCATTGTGGGAATCAATCGCTTGCCGACATAAGAGCCTTATTCAGTGTCTAGAGAGCTATAGAGCTACAGAGCTTCAGAGCTATAGAGCTAGCCAACTTCAAGGCCGTTTGTCCACTAGTAGGTAGCCAAATTAAAGGCCAAAAGCCATAAAAAATAAGTAGAAAAGTGGCTAAGAAGCTTGACATTTTTTTGCCTCAAAGGCCACTTGTCTGTTGAAAGATATGGCATCTATATCTTTAGCTATGCAAGCAATATTTGCCCTGAATGCGACACTAAAGTGAATTATTAGTTGGGCAAATAATTGCACAGTTTGCATTGCAGAAGCTTCCCCATACCGACGACAGCTTGTGACAATATTTGGTCAGTGAGTGTGGATGGTGGATGCCCCCCCTCTGGACTGGCAATTAGTGTTTAAGGAAATGCCAACAAATGGCTTTAAAGCATCTAAAGGAATAGCTAAGTAGTACTGATAGCCAGACCTCTAGACCTCCCAAGCCTATAAAAAACCTCACCATTAAATTGATGGATTTTTTTCAATCAGTTCTGGCCAGCTGCCCCCCATCGCTGCCCCGATGTGGCAAGCTGGTAATGACTGTAAAAGAGCCTCAGACTCCACCCATCAGTCTATTTGCATTTTATTTCCCCAGTCAAAAGGATAGTCTAGCCCCCCAGCTGTGAGCTGGAAAAAGCAATTTAGTTTTTGGATTCTAACACTCTCTACTCACCATTTAAACTGTGAAGGACATGAGGACACTGCCGGGCATTTCTGAAACAAAAGAAATGGAAATACTTTAGTTATTTTTCCAGAAATATATTTGATATGTGAGATGGATATGTGTCGACAGGTGGCATAAGTTTTTTGCATTTTCAAATCGAGATTAAATCCAAAACTAAGGTCATCAGGCCCATTTGCATGTCAGTCACGTGCCGACACTACCACTCAGGTGGGTGGTAGCCCCCAAACCGACTAGGTTTTCCTGAGAAAAAATATAAAAAAAAAAACTTCAACTCATTATTTAATATTTTTTCATTTTTTGGTTCATGACCCAGAAAAGAACTCTCCCTAGCACTCTTTCGAGTATCTGGCAGATACACAAGTATCTCGTGTAGCGTTGTGGAAACGTGAAATGTACGTGCGGTCATCTGTCATGATTCTCAGTTGCTGTCTCCGACCATCGTGGCCTACAAACCATCATCATCATGAAGGGGGGGGAGGGTGGTTCATACTTCAGAAAGTGGACCTGGTCCAGCCATTCATTGTCTCTGTGCGTGAGCTTTGCTTAAATGTCAATTATTTCACGCTTATTACATTTTTGATGGCCTTGATGATGATAATGATGATGATGATGATGATGATGATGCAGCGAGAAAGCAGTAGCTTTATATCTATATATAGAGTACCAGGTACTATATCTACCATAAGAGTTATATAGTATGTCTGGTGGTAGCCTTTTTTTTATGGACTTTTAATGTCTACTTTATGGGTGTGTGTGACTGAGATCTTGAAGAAGAGACAGTGACAGTTTTCACCTCTCTCTTCTACAGTCTACAGTGTCTACAGTGTCTACAGTGTCTTCTGTCTTCTGTCTAGACCTCTGATTTGAAATCATTGGTTTTTGGTTTCAGATCAAGTGGGTCAGTCAGTCAGTCAGTCAGTTGGTGAGTTGTTGGAAGACGTGAGAATCTTTCAAGAAGATCCCCCAAGAAGTCTCAAGATATCTTAAGATCTCTATAGATCTCTTCAGATCTCTTCTGTTTTGAAGTCTTTTTTTTAAGAAATACCAAGCCTAGTAATAACCATAAATCTTAGCCCTAAAATAGTCCCAACTAAAGGCCGATAAACCTCTATAATCAGAAACCATTAAAAGACACCTAGTGTGGGAATATATTTCCTTTAATTTATGACAAGATTTTAAGGTTTTTTAAAGCTTTTCTTTTTCTTTTAAGATTTTCCTAACTTTCCTTATCTCTTAATTAAAGGAAATGAAATAAAATCTTATTCAGTTTCTCGAAACTCTCTTCCAAACTTAAAGTTCCACCAATTTCCTTGCCATTGCCAGGTCTTAGCTAAGCGGGACTTTAACTTTGTTCCGCCAACGTAACGACCCCATTTCCAAAGTCGTAATAATTTCATGAAAAAAAACGCAGCAACATCGTCACCGACTGCATTTTTGGTCAAAAAAAAGACGACGACATGAAGACCACCTCCTCCTCCTCTTTTTCTCAAGAGGATGGGATGAGACTTTTGGTAGAGGTGGCTGGTAATGTGCCAGTAAAAGGTATTTTAACGCTGGAATGCCTTCCTTACCAAATACAGCCACCCATCCACCCCCTTGCAGGAAAATGAGTCGGAGGAGTTTTCCTCTTTCGGCTGCTTTGTCATGAAAAATAACTTTGCTTCGTTGAAATGACAGTCACGATTTTTGTATTTTTTTTTGTATTTTTTTGTTACTTTTGCTGGGCAGTATAGTAGTCCTCCTCCTCCTCCTCATTCTTCCCCCTCACTCTTGTCAGTTACTCTTCTCAGACTAAATGAAAGATGATGAATTTATTAAATTCCCATGTCGTTTTAAAAAAGGGGTCTATGTTGTCTGGTTACCTAGTTTTATATATATTCGGATATATTTTTAATCATTTTCTTTGATTTTTATTGAATTTCTTAGCAAAAAAATGTAATTAAAGGTTCTAGAATCTAGAGGCATTAAAATATTACCTAAAGATTGACAAAGTTTATATATATTTATGATCCTACCTCTCCCTTCCCTCTTCCTCTCTCTGTAAGAATGAAAAATTTTCTTCTTTTCAAAGAACTTTTCTTTTGGGAAAGCTAGTAGGTCCTTTTGGAACCTGAACACCCAATCTCACCGCCTTGGTAAACTGCGGCGGCTAATAAAGAATGTAAATGGAACAAATTGCTTGGCCGAAAGGTGAAATTTCATAAATTTTCACAGTTCGGTGGGGAGGGGGGAGGAGGTGGAGTGGCCACGGGGCTATCCACAGTCTTCCAAGGAAAAGCGTACATGAAGAAAACTCAACATTTTTTCAAACAAAACAAAACTTTTTGGACAAAACAATCGTAAAAATTGCGCTGTGTCATTAATCTGAAGAACCGGTCCAATCTTAGCTCGAGGCTCTTCAAGATTTTCTCGACCACCACCTGACCCCTCCTCTCTCCTCTCCCCTTAAATAAAGGTAAGAAAAAATATATCGTTTCCGCCCACAAGTGTTTTTGTTATAAAAGCGTTTAGCCTTAATTGTTTGACGCTATTTTCTGGGACTTTTTCTTTTTTTAGAGGTTGGGGTTTTTTTTTTTTGGAGGTATGGCTTTTTTTGAAGAAGAAGAAGTGAGGAGTACTCTTTCTAGGAATGGTATTTGGTGGGGTATGGGGTTTATTATAGTATAATATTTTACTATATGGGGGGGGTATTGGGCCTAAAACCTCGATAAGTAAGAGATATTTTATATCCAAACTCATTTATGAACTGAAATATAAGCATACTCCCAAGTTCATTGGGTTTTCTTCATAAAAATGGTTTTATCATGTTATATTGTGATATATTATTATACCATATAATACCATTTAGAAGAAAATTATTCTTAAAAACTCTTAAAATAATGGATATTTCTTAACTAAACTGGACTGTGATGTAAAATACAAAAATTCAAGTTTCATTGAATTTTCTCCATTAAATTTTATCTATATCTATTATATCTTTTAATATATATTATAATACCCTTCAGGGTGGAATTATACCTGAAAACTCTATAACTGTAAGATATATCTTTTCCCAACTCATCTCTTAACTGAAATACAAGAGTACTCCAAAATTCATTGGATTTCATCCAAAAAATGTTTTTCCAACATGTAACTATGTATTATAATATATTATAATACCATTTAGTCTAATATTACGCTTAAAAACTCCCAAACTAATAAATATATCTCAACCTAACTCATCTTTAAGCTGAAATACAAGTGTACTTCCAAGTTCATTGGATTTTCTTCATAAAATTATACTCTGGATATATATTATAATATATTATTATACCATTTATGAGAAAATCGCCCCTAAAAACTCCCCAACTAATAACAATTTCTCCTCCCAACTCATCTATAAGCCAAAATACAAGAGTAAACCCAAGTTCATTGGACTTCCTCTACAAAAAAAAATCCTTTTCCAATGCTCCTAAACTTTATAGCACTTCTTAAATCAGTTTTTTTTTCGTTTTTTATGAAAAATCATAAAATAAATCTCGAAATCGAAACTGAAGACCCGCTTGCATCGACGGCTGTTGAGAAACGTTTCTTTAATGACCCAAAAATATTAAAATAAAAAGGTGATACCTTTTTTCGTAGCCCCCGTAATCCCTTCCAGGCCCACACCTGGAAATAATTTGAATGCCATTCGTGGGGCCTTTTGTTTATGGTCAGATATAAATTCCCCCCTTTTTTTTATGAGTTAAGGGGGGGGCGTCTTTCTTTTAACGAAAAATTAAATTAATGAACGCACATTTGTGGGGCACTCTCTCGGCCTCTCTCTCTCGGTTTCTCCCTATTTTGGGGACCAACTTTTCTGGGCAAATTAATTTGGCAATTGCAATAAAAGTTTTTGCAGCAGATTTGGGCCATTATTCTTGGCTCAATGGCTGCTGCTGCTGCTAAAGATCGTCGTGGTAGTAGTAGTAGCCATGTTTGGCTTATAACCAAAGCCATTAAATAAATTAGTCAAATTCCCTTGAAGGAAAGAAGGACTTGCTCCTTGCTCCTTGCTCCTTGGGAAAAAAGGTAACCTAATCCCCATCTAATTGGCTGCCAAAGATCCGATTTCGCAGTTGAGAAAACTTTTGTTAAGAGTTGAGAATGTATGTCCTGTCCTGGTCCTATCCTATAAATCGCAGCTGATTTCATGGCATAATTCCGCCAAGGACCTTCTGCCGTGCAATGAGCAATAATTGCACTTTGACACGACCCCCCCCTATGTCAGAGTTTGTCGGCTGGGTTTTGCCTTTTGTTCTTTCAAATCAACCCTGAAAATGAAATGAAAGGACAATGGTCCCAGTGCCTCTGCCTCTGCCACTGCCTGCAGGACACACACTAATAAATCCTTGTCACAATATCCTTTTGTTTTGCCATCTTTTTTTTTCACTTGAGCTGTGAGTCCTTCTGCTGCTGCTACTGCTGCTGTTATCCTTTTTGAATTTACAGCGCAATAATTCAAAACACATTCGTTGACGGACAGAAGCGGACAGCAACGGACAGGACGTCTGGTATGGTCTCTGGTCTCTGGTCCTGAATGATTAAGGTCCTGTCGGCACGAAACCAGCCATATGCTTCATTATCTTGCTTTAATCAAAAATTAAGGATATTAAGAGAAGAGGGTTCTTATTTTTTGAGGAGATTCTGCAGATTCTAATCATAAAGAAGACATAAGAATTGGAGATTCTTGAAGAGAGAGAAACTGAGTCCTGCCTGAGGAATTCTTCAATGATTCTGCCTAGACAGAGACAGAAGATAGCCAGGAGAGAGATAGATAGATGGCTGGTAATTCAAAGAGAAAGGATGCCAAAAGGGAAAGAGATGCTGCTAGAACTGCAAGAGATGCCGTCAAGGGGTGGCCTCTACTCTTCTATCTTTTTTATTTTCTTTTATTTTTTTATTATTTCCCCCCCTTTAACCAGCTATCTCTCTCTGTGCTTAATTCCATTTCCAGACAAACACACACTCGAGGATATGAATGTTTTG